TTGCCTAGGGAAAAGCTGAGAAGCCAAGAGTTTCAACTCCTGAAATGGGGCTCACTAGACTGGTTCCATTAAGTCACCACCCATCCCCCCCCCCCCCCCAACAAGACAATAAGCTTACCTGTGGGTGGGAGTTCAATGTGAGTGAAGGAGAAGGGAAGACTCCCCCTCACCCACCCATCCCCCCAACCCATCCACCCACCCGTCCATCCACCCATTTCACTCACCATCCACCCGCTCCGCTACCCATTCATCCATACACCACCAACCCACATACCATTCATCCATCCATTTGCCCACCCATCCTGGCACCCATCCATCCATCCATCCGTCCACTCATTCATCCATCTATCTGTCTATCCCTCCATGCACTCATCGTCCCAAGAATCCATGCACCCATCTACCCAGCCATCTGTCCACCCATCCCCACATCCATCCACCACGCCCCATCGGGACAGCTCCGGCTCGAGGGCCCTGGAGCGGCCGGCCATACCAGCATAAATGACCAGCCCATAGCAGGTGTCTGTGTTGCGAATCTTGCAGCCTCGGAGGAGGAGGTTGCCAATATCCAGGGAATATTTTTGGTCATTCCATTCCAGGCACCCCACGAAGCGGTGCAGCCGGCTGTTGGGCGCCTCACATGTCACTGTGCCTGTGGGCAGCCAGGTGGTTAGTGGGTCAATGGGCTCAGGCCCTCCTCTCCAGGCTCCCTGCAGCCCCCCTCCCCCCGTTGTGAATGTCTGTGAGCTCCGTGAGAACAGGTGCCAGCCTCATCTCAGCCATGCTCTGACCACAGGGCACAGCCCAGCACCTGCACACAGTAGGTGCTCAATAAATGTGTCAAAAGGGAAGAGGAGAAGGAACATCTGCTAGAGGAGCCTCCTCCTGGGTGCCGGAGCCTACCCACCATCCCCTCCCCATTCACCAACACCCTACAATGGCCTCACTTCTGTCGGAGAAAACAGGTTCAGACCACACAGACTGGCCCAGGGCAGCGTTCGGTGAGGGTGAGAATGATAATGGGGCATGAGGCTGGGACCCCAGAAGGGAGAGGAGCCACAGGGCTCCTGACGGGTCCTCATCTGCCTCCTGGTCACACCTTAGGGATGGGGAGCCGGACTCTGCCCTGAATGTAGGAACTGGAGGCATCTATGTTGGGAGGGCAGAGGGCAGAGGAGCTGCAGGGCAAGCCCACGCCCCATGCCTCTTCCTCTGAAAAATGGGTTAATGCCCAGTGACAATGCCGGGGCAGGTGTCCGAGGCCAGGCCCACAGAAACCCTCCTTGCTCACCCAGGAAAAGTGGGAAAGGAAGAGTCACTGCCTGCCTATGATTCTGTGCCCCAGTGGCATTAAATAAAGGAGCCGACTGGGTGCGGTGACTCACGCCTGTATTCCCAGCACTTCCAGAGGCCAAGGCAGGTGGATCACCTGAGGTCAGGCGTTCGAGACCAAGGCTGACCAACATGGTGAAACTCCGTGTCTACTAAAAATACAAAATTAGCCGGGTGGCAGGCGCCTGTGAACCCAGCTGGTCTGCAGGGGAGGCCAAGGCAGGAGAATCACTTGAACTTGGGAGGCAGAGGTTGCAGTGAGCCGAGATTGCACCACTGTACTCCAGCCTGAGCGACAGAGACTCTGTCTCAAAAAAAAAAAAAAAAAAAAAAAAAAAAATGAGAGAGCCTTTGGTCAAGTTCTGGGACTGTCAGGGAAATTAGGAGAGATGGCGGGCACCCTCCACCAGGACTAAGCCTTTCCCCAGATTCCAGAGGCAGATGGGAAAAACAGGTGTCAGGAGTCTGCCGTTCAAGGAAAAGGCTCTGCGTGCGAATCAGTTAGAGCGAGTTGCCTTCACAATAAGACAGGAAAACAAAACCAAATTGTACTCCAGGCCGGGCTGCAGCAGAGTAAGTTTCCACACCACTCGTGAAATGCCTCCAGGTGGAATTAAGAAACAGCCAGGCTGTGAAGTGGGGGCAGCACTCTGTTCTTTTTTTTGAGACGGAGTTTCGCTCTTGTTACCCAGGCTGGAGTGCAATGGTGCTGCGATCTCGGCTCACCGCAACCTCCGCCTCCTGGGTTCAGGCAATTCTCCTGCCTCAGCCTCCCGAGTAGCTGGGACTACAGGCACGCGCCACCATGCCCAGCTAATGTTTTGTATTTTTAGTAGAGACGGGGTTTCACCATGTTGACCAGGATGGTCTCAATCTCTTGACCTCGTGATCCACCTGCCTCGGCCTCCCACAGTGCTGGGATCACAGGCGTGAGCCACTGCGCCCGGCAGCACTCTGTTCTTAGAGGCCTTTCTCACCACGGGAATTGCCAGCCCACGCACACAGGGCGTTTTCAATGAAACAACCGAAACCTGGGGCCAGGCGTGGTGGCTCACGCCTGCAATCCCAGAACTTTGGGAGGCTGAGGCAGGTGGATCACCTGAGGTCAGGAGTTCAAGACCAGCCTGGCTAACATGGTGAACCCTCATCTCTACTAAAAATACAAAAAATGAGGCGGACGTGGTGGCGGGTGCCTGTAGTCCCAGCTACTTGGAAAGCTAAGGCAGGAGAATCGATTGAACCCCGGAGGCGGAGGCTGCAGTGAGTTGAGGTCGCACCACTGCCCTCCAGCCTGGGCAACAAGAGCAAAATTCCATTTCAAAAAAAAAAAAAAAAATCAACAACCAAACGTGACTATGTTACGGGTAGATTTTACACTTAATAGAATATAGCACTTTCTTGTTGGTTTTGACACAGGGGTCTCACTCTACTGTCCAGGCTGAGTGCAGTGGTGCGATCACAGCTCACTACAGCCTTAGCTTCTGTGGGCTCAAGCGAGCTTCCCACCTCAACCTCCCAAGTAGCTCGGACCACAGGAGCGTGCTATCATGCCCAGCTAATTGTTTTACTGTTTGTAGAGATGGGGTCTCGCTATGTTGCCCAGGCTGGCCTTGAATTCCTGGGCTCAAGCGATTCTCCTGCCTCAGCCTTCCAAAGTGCTGAGACTCCAGGTGTGAGCCACCATGCCTGGCCAGCACATTTTTTAAAAGCAACAACAATAACAACGACAATGAAACACCCCAACTTTTCCAGATTTGAGGGACATGACTCCACTCAATGCCTCTCACCTTGAAAGGACGCCATATTCCTCACGGTGGTCAGTTCCTGGTGAGTGACCGTCAGGGCCTGTCTGAACTTCAAGTTGGTCTCCCTGGTGGGAGGAAGGGAGGGAGGTGAAAAGGGAGGTGATAGAGGCTTTGAGGAGCCCCCAGGCCCCTTCTGGAGTCACTCAAACATTTTCACTGAGCACCTACTGTTTGCCAGCTGCCGGTCAGATGGCTGAGACCCAGAGAGGGAGAAGGCCTGGCCCAAGGCCACATAGCACATTTGCCCAAGGGCTGAGGCCAGGGCCTAGGGTGTCGTGCCCTTGGGCACACAGTGGGGCCTGAAGAAGTGAAAGCCTGGGGAGGGTGGGCTTCTTCCCCTGGACTCCTCCCTCTACCCCTGCAGGCTGGAAATGCACCCTCGGCACCTGGCAGCACCTATGCCCGACATACTGAGTGACTGAGGGTGACTGACCAATCTCTGAGTCAGCTTGGCTTGCCACCTCCTTGGTGACGGGGGAAGGGGGCACCTCCAGGCCCTATGCCTTCCCCGGCCCCCAGCAATGCCACAGCTCCTCACCCGTCAATGTCCCCACCCCCCACGGGTCCCCAGCGATGCCACAGCTCCTCACCCATCAATGTCCACTGTCTCCACATAGCAGAGGCTGCTGGGCTCCGTGCTGGCCAGCAAGAGCATATCGGCCTGGGGGTGGGGGAGGCGAGGTGGGGTGAGGTGGGGGTAAGAGGGGTGGGGGGGAGGCATTGCAGAAGGGGATACAAGACACGTGGGGGGCGAGGAGCCCTCCCGACCCTGGGAGGGGCGCTCCCTGTGGGGGGTTCTGGGACCCCGGGGAAACCCAGCTCACCGGGACGATGCTGTCCTTGTGGAGACAGACCACATCCCCCACGCACAGGTCCTTCCATTTCTTCCACGTGAAGCTGCGGGGAGGGGGGCTGTCGACTCTCCCCAACTGGGAGAGCAGAGGCCGCTGCCCCGACTCCTAGGACGCCTTCCTCGACCTCCCACCCCGCTCCCCTCGGAGTCTGTGGTCCCACCCAGTGACCTCCAGGGCCCTTGTCCCCACGTCCTCTTCAGATGTTCCCTGTTCTCCCATCGCCCGCAGCTCTGCAAGCGTTTGGCATCTGGGCCTCAGCCTCTGTTCCCATCCCGGGCAGGCGCCTGATGAACACAGGCCTGTTCCTGGGGGACTCAACCAGCCGGGAGGTTGGGGGCATGGGAGGTGACAGACACCTGGCCAAGCACCCTGCCCTGCCCAGACAATGGCACCACCGGGCCGGAGCCCCGTGTCCCCTCGGGTCCCCAGCTGCAGCCCAGCCTCACCTCTTGCCCATCAGAATCTGGCAGGGCCTGTTGTTGATGGCTCTGTCACTCTTGTGTCTCCCCTGGGCCAGGAGGGAAAGGATCAGAGGGACCATCCAGCCTCTCCGGCCCCCGCCCAGGCCGCTGCCACGTCACAGCCCAGGAGCGCCCGCCTGGACATGGGACGGGGTCCCTGTCTGCCCGCCCCACGCCATGCTGCATCCGCTCGGGGATCCCCGGTCGTGCGGGCCACTGGACCCCCTGCTCACCATCCAGTGTGCCTGCCAGACCAGACCACCACCCACCAAAGCTCAGCGGCCCCAAAGCCACACAGCCGATGGAGCCCAGGCCACCAGCGGCACCTGCCCAGTGTCGGTGCTGGCAGATAGGGACGATGCAGCCCCGACAGCCCCAGCTCCCCAGGCCCACGTTCCCGTAAAGCTCCAGGAAGCCCAGGCCTCCTCCCACTCTCACCCAGGGCTGCTCAAGAGGCCCCACCCCACCCCCGGACCCTCACGCCGTCCTGGACCCCCGGCCAGCCACATCCCCACAGCACTCACAATGTCATCCGCCAGGTCCCGGGCGGCACGGATGAAGAGGAGGCAGATCATGGGAGCGAAGAGTGAAAACCAGGGCAGCGTGGAGAGGTCGGGAATGCCCTGATGTGGGGGGAGCCACAGGGAGGGGTCACACTGGCCCCTCCCTGTCCCTCCCCTCCCACCGAACCAACCCAGCCCGGCATTCAACACCTTGCTGGCCACTTCAGCCGGGGTCCAGCCATCCCCCACACCCCAGCCCTCGGGACAACCCCCCGGGCACCCCACCACCTGCCTGGAAGATCTCCCACACACCTCCTCCTCTCCAGTCCAAGCCCAGCTCCCTTGTCGCCTCCTCCGGGGAGCCCTCCGCAGCCCCAAGCTTGACTCTCACTGCTCCGCCTCCCTCCTGCGTCCCTGCTTCCCCAGGTCACCCTGCAGGTGTGAGCTCCACCATCCCCCACCCTGGCGCCCCAGCCAGTGGCCTGCACACAGTAGGTGCTCCATTAATGCCGAATGATTTGATGGATAAAAGGAGAACCTCTCTCTTTACACAGAACAGAAATGAGATGTTGGGTGGGGGTGGGTGCCTGGGAAGCAGCTCTGTGGGTCCGGGTCGGAGGACATGCTCTGGGCCCCTCCTTCCCCCTTGCTTCTGAGGTCAGCTCAGAGCTCGGGGGCCAGGGGAGCTGTGTGGCCGAGGCCATCCAGGCTGGGGAACAGCTGTGCCTCCCGACACCCAGCCCTGCCCAGCAGGAACCCCCAGGGCGCAGAGAGGGTGCCGTGCTCGGACCTGGAAGGTCCCTCCATCCACCCTCGTCATTCAGCGTGTATTGAGTGCCTCTTGTATGCCAGGGCCTGGGCAGGGCAGTGGGGACTCAGTAATGACGGTCCCAGTCTGTGGGGAGCCGGGCATGAACCCACCCGTCACACAAACAAACACATTGATGCGGCCAGGTGGCCAGGAAGGGCTTCCTGGAGGAGGCCTCGCGCCTCACCTGCAGGATGATGATGAGGAGGAAGTACAGGTTGGACAAGCGGTGGAACTGCTCGTACAGCGTCAGCGGCAGGAACGAGAAGAAGTTGTACTTGGCTGTGCGGATGATGTTGGTCTGGAACGAGAGCCGCCGGCCACCTGATATGGGGGTGCTGCCTAGGCCAGGGGATGGGGGTGCCCAGCAGGTGGCGGGATACAAACACAAGCAGAGGCAGCACTCAGGAGGTGCAAAAAATAGATTCCCCAGGGGGGCCAGGGCAGCTCCGATGGGGTGGGGGAGGCCCAGGGGGCGAGGGAGGGGCCGCCCACCTTGTGCTTCCTCCTCCGCCAGCACAGGAACACCTTCTCTTTGAGCTGCGAGTTGTAGGCGCGGTTGTTGGCCTGGACCTCCCAGGTGAATGCTGCAGCAAGGGCAGAGCCGGGCGTCCGTCGCAGGCCCAGGACAAACATCCCTAACGACGGCTAATGGGGCGCAAGGGACCCAGGCACTGGGAGGCCGAGATGCCGGAGCCCGTAAACAAACAGACGGTCGGGCATTGGGCACCACCTAGGGGCTACCAGACCACCGCCCATAGTTGGCACCGGCACAAGTGGATTCTGAGAGCGGCCACCCACACCGCCCCCCACCACCCCTGTCACCATGGGCGAATCCTGAGCCTCAGAGAACAGACCCCGGGAGACCCTTTCAGGCCCCTACATTTTACAGAGGGGGTAAACTGAGGTTCGGTGATGGGTTCTCCAAGGCCACACGTCCAGCCGGCAGCCCAGGTCATTCTGGGCATGCAGCCCCCCAAATCCTGAGCCAGATCCCCCAAGCCCTGTCGGTACTAGCGTTGGAGACTACTCGTAAGCAAATGAGAATCCTAGGCAAGGCCTGCCATGCAGGACGGGGGGGCGGGGTGGACTCTCCAGCCCCGTCAGCCTCAGCCCTGAACTTTTTTTTCTTTTTTTTTTTGAGACAGAGTCTTGCTCTGTCACCTAGACTGGAGTGCAAAGGTACGCTCTTGGCTCAATGCAACCTCCACCTCCCGGGTCCAAGCAATTCTTCTGCCTCAGCCTCCCGAGTGGCTGAGATTACAGGCACCTGTCACCACACCTGGCTAATACAAATTACTTTTAGTACTTTTAGTAGAGACGGGGTTTCACCGTCTTGGCCAGGCTGCTCTTGAACCCCTGACCTCAGGTGATCTGCCCATCTCAGCCTCCCAAAGTGGTAGGATTACAGGCGCGAGCCACCTTGCCCGGCCAGCCCTGCACTCTGCAGTCCCTCCCACCTGCACCCCCGTTCCCCCAGGATCAGCACCTGAGTTCTTGTCCTCATCTTGGAGTTCTTCTTTCTGGCTGAGGCTGCTCATGCTGGTGGGGCTGTGGGAGAGAGAGAGAGGGACCCCGGGTCACAGCAGTGGCCCCTGCACTCACTTGGCCTTCAAGGAGCTCATGGCCTAGGGGCCGACTGTCTCAAATACTAACGCCCACACCCATCTGCAGCCTCCCCCCAGTCTCCGAAGGTCCAGCCATTGGCTATGTGTCCTGCCTTGGATACTCTGACTCAGGGGACCCCAAGATGATCCCCAAACCTGCAGCATCCCATCTGCCAGTGTCCCCTGCCAGCCACCCCTGGTCACCTCCCGCCGGTACAGCCTAGGAAGACTCACCTGCGGCCATGACAGCCTCTGGCCACTGCTCCCCACACCTCCCCTTCCCTGGAGGCACCGCTCTCACCTCCTCCTGGTTTCGCTGATGCCCTCCTGCCCACTCACCCATGGCGACAGGTAAGGGGCTCAGTCATTTGTTGACTGAATGGGACCCCTGGGCTAGATGTTATATTGCAAAGCACAGCATGGGGGTCAGGCATGGCCATCCTGCCCCAACCCCGGCTGGGAAGCAAATCCTGATGAGGGCAATGGAGGCAGACAGAAAATCGTCGGAAGATCTTGGAATCTTCCCCACTAGCGGGTTCAGGAATGTGGGTCTGGCTCTCTGGCTCTGCACCGGGGGCTGGGGTTTGGCCCTCTGTGAGGCTGGCAACCCCCCCCCAGATGGCAGCAATGGGCCCCCCACCTGCCAGCTCTCTAGCTGCGCACTCCCCGCCAAGCCCCTGCCCCTGCTGTTCCAGCCGCCAGGTGCAGCCTTCCTCACCCTTCCGGTGGTCTCCGTTCATACTTCCCAGGCCGGCCAGGCTGGGCCCTGCGCTTTCTCTGGGCTGCCCCTCTGCCTGGGGCGTCCCCCATCCCAGCTCTGACCACCTTCTCACCTCCACGGATGCCAGCAGGACCTGAGCCTTCCTGAGTCACGTCTGAGTCACCCGTGTCCCCAGGGCCTGGTGGGACAGGGCCTGGCTCAGGGCCAGCTCTGGAGCTCCTGGGAGCCTGGGCGGGGCCAGTGTCCATTCACCACGTGGGATACAGGGAGGTTCAGGGTGAAGAGGGGCTTAGGCTGTGGGCCGGGGGAGAGGTGGGGAGACCCCTGTGGTGGCCAGAATCCACCCAAAGGGCATCTGGGGGCAGAAACAGGCACGGACACAGCGCTGGCTTCCTGCCCCCTCACTAACCGGAACGCCCCATTACTCGGAAGCCCCCCCCCACTCCCGTCTTCCCGCAGCCGCCCTGGACAGGGGTCCCGAGTGCAGGGGACACCGGGCTGTCTGCAGCGCCTCCCGGGCCCCGACTGCGGAAACCTCTAGGAGCGCCTTCTCCACCGCCACCGCCAAAACCCCAGCTCTCAGCCCGGCTGGAGCCCAGAGGGGGTGCGCGGGCCCCTGGGGACGCACAGCAGTGGGAGCGCCCGCCGCTCACCGGCGCAGTCCAGGCACCGCGGGGCCGGCTGCCCGGCACAGGTCGCTGGCGTCCAGGGCGGCGGACGTGATGGAACCGTTAGCCGGGGGCCAACGGTCCTGAAACGGGGGGCGGGGCCTCGGGGCCCGGCCAAGGCGAAGGTGGAGCCGGTTCCGAGACCTCACGGGGCCGAGGGCGGGGCCGGGAGGGGTGGGTGGAGCCAAGGCATGGAAGGGGCGGGGCCTCGAGGGAGGGGCCAGGGCTGAAGGCGGGGCCGAGCGGAGCCTCGCAGAACAGGGCCGGGTGGAAAACGTGCGGGGGTCGGGGAGGGGGCGGGGCCAGGGCAGAAGGCGGGGCCTCGCAGAACAGGGCCGGGTAGAAAACGTGCCGGGGTCTGGGGAGGGGGCGGGGCCAGGGCAGAAGGCGGGGCCTCGCAGAACAGGGCCGGGTAGAAAACGTGCCGGGGCCTGGGGAGGGGGCGGGGCCAGTAGGAAGGCGGGGCCGAGCGGGGTCTTGCCGTGCGGAATAGGGGCGTGGCCAGGACCCGGCAACGTGACCAAAGAGGAAGGCGGGGCCTAACGGGGCCGCGCAGAGCCGGGTTGAGGTAGGGGCGGGGCCAAGCCCAGGGGCGTGGCCAGAGAGGCGGGGTTGAGCACGGCCCTGAAGACTAGAGTCAAGGCAGGGTCGGGTCTGGGATGGGGGCGTGACAGAGGAGGAAGGTGGGCGGCGCATAGCAGGGTCAGGGTAGGGGGGGCGCTTGGGACGGCTCCAGGACAGAAGGTGGAGCCTGGGAGGGCCGGGGCCTGAAGGAGAAGAGGGTGTCAGGGCAGGGCCGGGGCTGGGCTTGGTCGGCGAGCAGAAAGAACCTGCACTGTAGGGTGGGATTGGAGTGGTTCTTGTAAAGGTGGGCCTGTCAGGCCAGAATGTGCCTTCCAGACTGGACGGGGCTGAGGCTGGTGGGGCCAGCATGGCAGAGTGCATGTGGAAGGACCGCAGGTGATGGCAGGTACATAGGGCGTGTCTCACCCATGTCCTGGGTTCGTTCATTCATCCCATAAACGTTAAACAAGCGCCTCCTAGGCTCAGGTACAGGGCTGAGCACCAGGCTGGGGAGAGGCAGTGGAGGCCACTGAGACCACCCTAAGGCCAGGAGGAAGCCCACAGAGTTCTGTCCAGCGGGTGGCAGGGGCTCAGGGATCCTTACTGAAGAAAGGGCAGGGGTGAGTTCAATGACAAGGTGAGGGCAGGTCCAGGCCAGAGATGGCCTTGAGTCAGGACCAGAAGATGCGCAGAGGAGCTGCTGAAAATGAAATGCACCCCCCCCCAGAGTGAGGCTTTGGGGTGAGGGTCCTAAGGGAGCGACAAACATGAGTAGGGAGGGATAGGGGGGTGACCTCCCCCATCAGAGTGGCAACCTCCTGAGGGTTCTCAGTGATCAGAAACCCACCTTTCTTTGGAAGCCCAGACTGGAAGCCTGCTTGGCCCTGGAGGCTGCCAGGGAACCTCTTTTTTCAGACAGGGTCTTGATCTGTCACCCGGGCTGGAGTGCAGTGGTGCAATCAGGGCTTATCACAGCCTCCACCTCCTGGGCTCAGGCAATCCTCCTGCCTCAGCCTCCAGAGTAGCTGGGACTGCAGGCAGACAGGCCACTGTGCCTGCTTGCCCGGTGGTTATGAGGAAGAGCCAGGGCTGGGGGTTTGAACACACTGTTCTCAGAAACTTTAGAAGAGACCTGGTTTGGTGCAGCTCTGAGGATGGGATTCCCCCTCCCCAGCCCTCACACAGGGCACAATCTGGGGACAGGAGCTTGCACAGAGCCCTTGTGCAAAGGCCCTGAAGCCTCCAGTGAGAACAGGTAGCTTCACAAGCTGAAGTCCATGGGGGCTACAGCCAGGACTGGCCAGCCCGGGGACCCCTTGGGATATGTCCTGAGGCACCAGGTGTGTTCTGGGAAGAGGAAGCCAGACGTCACACGCGAATACACGCCTGTACCATCTACTTAGGAAACAGGCCCAGGCGCAGTGGCTCACGCCTATAATCCCCACATTTTGGGGCAGCCGAGGTGGGTGGATCATTTGAGGTCAGGAATTCGAGACCAGCCTGGCCAACAGGGTGAAACCCCGTCTCTACCAAAAATAAAAAATGAGCCGAACATGATGGTGCAACTGTCATCCCAGCTACTTGGGAGGCTGAGGTTGCGGTGAGCTGAGACTGCACTACTGCACTCCAGCCTGGGTGACAGCCCTCTCAAAAATAGAAAAAGAAAAAACAGCAAACAACTCTTTCACAGAAGAGGCAGGGAGAGTCACCTAGTCACAAGAACAGCCCTCAAGGGTGGAGGGCCCTGGAGGGATGTGGACTCCAGAACCGTTCTGCCTTGGCAGCCTTGGTCGAGTCCTCTGGGGAGGGCCCCCATGACCTCACCCCGGGCCCTGCCCGAGACCAGGGTGACAGGAAACCCCTCCAGTCCTGCCTGCCTGCTGCCAGGTCCTGGGGCCGAGGCTCTTCAACTTTTCTTTATTTGAAGTAAATACAAAGGGGGGACCTAAACACCCCTGGGCCTCCTATTCTCACATGGGATCCCGATGCAACCAAGGCTGCCTGGAGCCGTGCCTGCATCGCAAGATGTGTGGCATTTCCTGGCAAGACCCCGGTGGCTTTCCTTTGGCGGGCATCACCCTCTGGCTTCCGGTCTCTTTAACCCTCTGTCTGTCTGCGTGCAGCCCCCAGCCCTGGGCAAGGCAGAGAGAGAAGCCAGCTCCATGCACAGGGCCCAGCTCCACACAGGGCTGGGGAAACCATCCACAGTCCCTAAGAGGCACTGGAAGCTGCAGAATGGCAGCCCTAGGCTCTGGGACTCCACAGCAGATGCGGCCTGGCCCAAAGTTGGGGGGGGCAGGTTGGGCAGCCAGTGCTGGGGCCAGCTTTTATGAAGGGAAAGTTTCATTGCTCTTCTCTGCGTTGGCGGCAAGAATCAGTCCCAGCTGCGGGCACAGTGGCCTTCCCAGGGCACATGCGCCAGGCACCAAGACCAGCACGAAATCTAAAATCCATACAAACATTTATTCTGTCCCTGCCTGGAGGGGAGGGAAAGGGAATCCGGAGAGCCTGTGAAGGAAGATGGGGCTCCGGTGGGAAGACAGTGTCCGGAGGCCAGTGGGCTCCATGGACGGCAGGCCCTGGGGCTAATGAGGGGCTGGCTGGGTTCTCAGAGGTCACGGAGTGCAGGGGTGGGGCGGCGAGTGGTGGAAGCCGGCCGCCCCGAAGGCAGGCCAGTCCCTGGAGCCCGGAGGCAGGTCCAGCCCACGCCGGGCTGCATGTGGCCCTGGCCCCCGCTGGGGTCTGTCCCGTCCCCACCCCCCCAGGTGGGAAGGCAGCAGGCCCACTCTTCCCGGTGGGAAAGGGCTGTGCAAGTCATCAGGTTTAAATAAAAATAATAAAAATAACAATACAAAATAAAAAAAGACTGTCTCAAACAAACCCAGGACAAGCCCACCCCGCGCCCCGAGCGAGGAGCGGAGGTGTCGGCCACCACCTGGGAGGGAGCGAGGGCCTGGCCAGAGGGGCAGGAGGGGCTGCAGGCCAGGCGGGGGTGGGCTCGGTCCTGGTGTCTGTCAGCAGCAGTTTACAGAGACGCCAGAGGTCTGGGGGGCAGAGGGCAGGGAGGGGTGTGAGGGGCTGCGGCAGGACGTGGGCTGGGATGGGCTGGGCAAGGCGTTCTCCGGCCACCGGCTTGTCCCGCTGCTCTGGGCTGCCTCGCCAGGTGGACGGGTTACCGGAGATTTATTGCACTGTTTGGAAGAGGCCTGGGGCTAAGGACCGGCCGGGGCGGCAGGAGAGGCGGGCGGGAGGCGGGCAGGTGTCATCGCTTGGTCTTGGCGTCTTCTCGGACCTTCCAGATCACCAGGTGCATGCAGGCGCCGGCGTCCTCGCTGGAGCTGTGCCCGTCCACTGCGGGGCAGATGCGGTGAGCACCTGGCCCCTGCGCAGGCAGGGACGGCCCGAGGGCGAGGCACTGGCACTCACCATTGTCCTGGATGATCTGTCTGAGGTAGTCAGCCATGAGGTTCCGCAGGGACCGCTTGTAGGGGAGGCCCAGGCGGTGGGGGAAGAGCACGGACGTGTCCACCACGGTGCTGTGGATGACCTGCGGGCAGCGGCAGAGGTCAGCGCACATCGGGCCTGCAGCTGCCCCTCCTGGAGAAGCGCAAGGGCCCCGGGCCGGCAGGGCACCTTCAGGGCCAGGAGGTCGCTCTCCAGGCTGTGTCCGATGAGGATGGTGTCGGCGCTGAACATGCTCAGCAGGACGGCCTGGACATCGCGCAGCGTGACACTCGTGTCGGCAAGGTCAGCCTCCGTCACGCCCGAAAACCTGGGGGAAGCAGGCAGGAGGGCGCCAGGGCTCAGCCTGGAAGCGCAGGCTGGTGGGGCGGTACTGCGGGGAGGGCGGGCCCTAGGGAAGGCTTTGAGGAGGGGTCCTGGCTGGCGGGCTCAGGCCACACCTGGTGTTGTAGTCCACGATCGCGTTGTCCGGCTTCACGAAGGTGTCATAAACCACGTGCACATCCGTGTCGACCACCGTGACTCGCGTCAGCTCCAGGCCGTACGTCGTGTAG